CCCCCCCACCCCGCCCAAGATGTCCTAATGTCCTAATCCCTAGGATGACTGAATATATTGTTACTTAGCAAAGGGGAATTAAAGTTGCAGATGGAATGAAGGTTTTTAATCAATTGACCCTAAAAAATGAGATTATTCTGGATTATCCAGATGTGCCCTATGTGATCATAATTATCCTTCAGTGTGAGAGTGGAGCAGAAAATGGAAGCAGAGAGATGGAGCATGAGAACCACTCAATTCAGCTTGCTGGCCTGAAGGTGAAGGAAGGGGCTATGAGTCAAGGAATATGGGTGGCTTCTAGAAGCCGCAAAGGCAAGCAACCCAAGAGCCTCCAGAAAGGAATGCAGCTCTGCCAGCCCAAATAATCCAGGATCATCTCCCTACTATAAAGTTGCCTGACTAGCTGTTTTCATTCCATTTTTCCCCCTTAATTCCTCTTTGTCATGGAGCAAAACACATTCAATTCCCTGCGATCGGATGGGACATCTTTCCAAGGGCGAGAATCTGCACACCACAGATGATAATATTTTCACGTAAAAGCTGTGATTCAATATTGTAAAACTCTCTGTATTGAGTTATCTGAAAAGGGATGAAGTGATGACTAATTGCTTTGAACTCAGTAGTTAGCTCCACCTTTGCCTTAAATCCATCTTGCAACCATCTTGCTTCTTTCTCTATGCATTAAAGCTATTACTTGCTATTTGCCAAAAATGGCTATTTGACAGTTACATTCAACCAAGAATAGAATTATAGTTGTTGTAATTCAATATTATATTGAAAGACAGCTCTTTAAGAAGGTGTCTATCTTAAACATTGGATTTTTACTTTATAAATCTAAGTATAAAATGTAATAACATATTTATATATTATTCCTTAGGTTACTTAGCAGCTAATCCAAGATTTGGATCATTGCCTAAAGTTGCAAGTAAGTCATAGAAGTAAAATGAAGTTCATTCTTTCAAAAGATATTTACAGCAACTATAGATAATAATGTCCAAATCAACCGGATTGCCTGTTTTAATGCTTTTAAAAAGTCAGTCTCCAGTCTTTGCCACTTTGCAGTACTCAGGTCATTCAGCATTTTCTGGAATAAAGTTGCCCAGTTGGGACTTACAGGTTTTCATAGAAGCCTGACGGGGTGGGCCGGCGAGCCCACAGCCTAGCCTCAAGTGGTAGCTCCCGCGGAGGATTTTATGTTCTTCCTTTGGCCAGCCTTAACTCGGGACTTTCTAGTCATAAATTTGCCACAAACACAGGGTCTCGCCGTCCACTCCTTAGACACACACCGTTTACGCACAAAGAGGAAGCATCCGGTTCTCGACTAAACCGTTATTTCCCGAAGGAGGAGCGGGTCAGAGGCTTCTTGGACAGCAGGCTCCTCTGCCTTGCTCGCTCTCCCTCTCTGCAGGCAAGATGGACTGTCCTGCGATACATAGAGAGAGCGCAGGGGCCCTCCTAGAGTACATCCAGACCCCAGCCCAGCCTTGCTGGTGGCCTCAGGCCCTGTGTGCCTGCTGGCTGTCCTCTGGCCCCCGTCCGGCTCTGGGACAGGACCTGTGCTTCGATCCAGCCCTCTGCTCTCAACTCAAAACTGAGGATGTCAGGACGTGCGATGCTCCCAATCTTGGTCTTTAATAATCTGGTCTTGCTCATTGATTTATCATGGTGTTTGTGAAATTAAATTTAAGTGAATAAAAATTATCTAGAAGATAATTCATGAAGGAGATTCTGAACCCTTAAATTATCTATCTTTCCTAACCTTTTCTTCCTAACAGTTGCTGGCATTTTAGGATTTGGGCTGGGAAAGGCATCGTACATAGGAGTGTGTCAGAGCAAATTCCATTCCTTTGAAGAGCAGCTCCGGGGAGCTGGTTTTGGTCCTGGACATAACAGGTTTGCCATCTATTTGCTGAGAGGTGGGAAGGAATATAACTGTAAAGAATTAAATGAAATATCATTTGTCATTTATAATATTAAAGTTTGTTTTAAGCTCCATCGTTTAAAGATCTGTTTCACCATCTAATTATGAATTGCTGCTATTCAATTGCAATAATAGTTTAACTTAGCTACCTATCTCATTTGCTCACCAAATAGTGAGTACTTGCTATGTTTAAGGCATAGCTTAAGTCTCTAAAGAACACGTTAATGATGTAAAAATAACCTGTTATATTATTAAAAAAATAAGTAAATTTTAAAAAAAAGAACACGTTAATGAGCAGATATGGCTGCTACCATCATGTGACACAGGACTTCTCAGAGCCTTTACTGTTTAATGTCTACAGGTAATATATATACATGATCATCATTCTCCTTGGGGAATCTAAAAATGGGGATTGACAGCATTACTTCTAGCAATAGAGTACATATTGTTTAAAAACAGCTCTGCCACTTGCAAGCTGGGTGAGCTTGGATAGGTTTCGTAATAATTTTCATTTTTCTCACTTATATAAAATGATAAGTGTTTACATGGGGTGCTGGAGGGAATAGAAGTGATAATTCATGGCACTCACAGTAAATAGCTGTTTCTAGGATAGTATTATAGCATTAGTACTGGGGACATGTTCCCTGAAGACCCTCCCTTGTCATAATGGATTATATTTGGGAGACAGCATGATGTGAAAATGACATTGAACACATTATTATTGTCCTTTTCTGGATGAAATTCAAATCTAGAAACAGCTCCAGTTATTCCTGAGAAATGTATACTTGCAAATTTTAGCACAAAAATTGTCTCTAATTTTTGTTAAGACTAGAGCCTCCAACATCAAACTGCAAACTACTATTTTTGCTTCTGTTCTAGGCACTGCCTTCTAACCTGTGAGGAGTGCAAAATTCAGCGTGGATTAAGGGAGGAGGGAGATTCACAGCCTTCAGCTTCCTAAACTCTATACCTACGGATTTTGAAGTTTCTTACGCCTTTGAATTTGTGCACATTTAAAACTTCAAGTGTACTTTAAAGTAATATATTTACAGTGGAACAAAAAAAACATTGTGATTCTCTCATTCCATTGAAATGCTTTCTGTGGAAGATTCTCAGCTCAATGGGCATTCTGTAGGCTTCTCCCCATCCCCTGCGGTTTCACTTTCCACATTTCACTTACCTGTGGTCAACCAAAGTCCCAAAATACAATATTTTGTACAATAAGATATTTTGAGGAGAGATCACATTTGCATAATTTTCATTATAGCATATCAATGATCATTGTTCACTAATTATCAGTTTAAATTCTTAATCTCTTACCGTGCCTAATTTATAAATGAAACTTTATTGTAGGCAGACATATAAGGGAAAAAATAGTACATATGAGGTTTAATACTGTACACAATTTCAGACATCCTCTGGGGTCTTTGAACATGTCACCTACGGGTAAAGGGGAGACTTTTGTCATGCTTTTCTGCTGTTTATGAACATGTTGGGAGCATTCACACACCCTAAAAGAAATTATGTTGTGCCCTACTAACTTAGAGCCAGTAAAAAAAATTAGAGACTTCTCTCACACACACCCCTCCATTCTTCCATTCTGATTTAGTTCAGTGTTTCAATTGAAAGCATTTGTATATATAAAGCATTTTCCTCAGAAGATACACTGTGTGTGTGTGTTTGCGCACACATATACACATTTGTGTTACTTAATACATTTTGAAACCCATACCATTGAATTAAAAAGGGAGACCTCCTCCAAATGTAATGTTTGATATGGAATATTTTATTTTAAATGTGAAAAATATTTGGAAGTTTTCATTTTTACAGGAACATTAAGTATATAAAATGGCATGCCTTTGACACCCTTTTTATACTACATATCCTGGCTTTTCAGTGGCTGAAGCTCTATTTCTGTAAATGAGAACACAGAGCCAATATCCTCGCTTTTTGGATGAAGTTTAATACTGGCTCTGACAACTAGCAATTGATGGTCCTTTGTTATCTCAACTATTGGCAAAAATTCAGTATTGGGCACATTTATTTCCTGCATCCCAGAAAAAAAGATTTGCTAGGAGTCAGAACATTTTTACATTGCTAAGTACAGCAAGTCAATGTTAAAATCAGTCTTAGGGCACCAGGAAAAAGGGAATGTATTATTGAAAAGAAATGTTGCTTCTAATATATCTTCATAATTCTGAATCAAATTGGGTTTATTGGTTGGGCTCTTTGGTTTTTCTAAGTAGATAAGTTTCCCGTTGGAGCAGATCTTTAAATGATCTTGATGTGAAAGGAAATCAATAAGGGAAAACCTTATTGCACTATCTATGGTATATGTTATGAGGCAAGTGTTTGGAGGGAAATGTCCTTTTCTTGTGGGAGGACGTGTTGCAGGAGCAGCATTTGTCTTTTCACACTTAACATTACCAATATTCAACACCAAGGTGGTCAAAAGCTTATGAAAATGAATGATATACTGTATGTAACGCTTATTTTTTTAATTCTCATTTAAGCAAAAACTATTTTCTTCCCTTGCTGTCAAAATAGGTAATTCAGCTATTTTCTGTTAAGACTATGAAGGTAATAAAATTTATCTTGAATGATTAAAGAATGACAATGTCATGTAGGTAATTTTCTTGGTATTCACATAATGCTACCTGTTAACTGACATAAAACTTTTCCACTTGGGAACTCTGCCCCCAGATATCAACCACAGAATTTAATTTTGTAGACATTTAGAGTTGGCAATGATTTCAGTGATTAGCCAAGAGGATGCAAAGTCCAAGAACAGAGAGTGTAACTTAGTGAAGCTGGCATATAAAACACAGGCAGATTCTTCATTTCTTCACACATAAATATGTGGGCTCACTGTTGCCAGAACATCAGGGTTTTTTCCAAATACAATGCAGGGGCTTATCTGCAATATTCAGGCCTTACTGTTTATTCTTTTATATATTCAATAATCAGCACCCACTCTTTCTTTGCCCAGCAATGTGTTTTGCAACCATCCCAGGTTCACCGCCAGTTCAGGCAGCTTAACAAGCAAGCCTTTAACCCTTAGCATCATCCCCAAAGGTTTTTTTTTCCTTTTTTTAAGATTTATTTATGCATACAGAACTGGGACAGGCCAGAGGTGCAGAGGCGGTGAGAAGAATCACCAGAGACAGAGTGGGGAGCAGAACAGGCAGATCAACGAAGTACACTGCTGAGGGGAGCAGCGGGCGGGTCAGGAGAGGTCTGCCGCGCCATGTGGGTCAGCTCCAGGGCAGGGATCGAAATTGCACTGAAGCATCTGCACTAGCTTGCAGTGCTGCATCCTAACCCATTGGGCCACCAGTATGTAGAGGACACACACCAGCAGGGAGACGGCAGCTTGGGCCCTGCAAATCTGTACATGCTCTTCCCTCTGGGATTTCTCTGGCTTTCTCTCACGGTTTCTTCCTCTCACAGCCAATGCTGCTCGGCTTGTAGCCGTTATCCGCTGCTCGGTTCTCTGTGACACTGCTTTTATCACCTCAGCCCCCAGGCTCAAGTATACCCACTGATGCATGTCCACACCATACAGGTGTCCACCAGCATGCCTCCTGCCCCAGTACAATCAAGGCCACAGGTGATAGCCACAGACCTGTGGGGTAAAAGCCTGACCACTTCATTTACCCTACAGAATGTTAATAATTAACACAACCAGCAAAACATTGCATCTTCCTGGTGCATATATTCTTATCACCAGAACATAGCTTGACCTCCAACCAAGCTCCCAGCTGCCGTGGGAATGACCTCTGTTGCAGGCAGGTGCCATCTCGGGGCTTATGTATTTCCAGGGAAGACACCTCCCCTCCGTGGTGCAACCCAGTGCACTGCCCAGCCACCAAACTGTTCAGAAAGTTCTTGAGAGCTTGTTTGGAGGTTCTAGCAGGAGAACGCAGCTACTCGTAAACCCTTGACCCGTATACCCTTGACCAAAAACCGGTCAGTCTCTACTGGGGAAGGCCGTTCTCTCAGTCCAAGCAAACAGCTTCGGGAGAGCTGCACATGGAGCGAGGGAGGAAGGGGACACACACCTAGCTAGCCAGATCAGCCAAATCAACTCTGGCGATCAATGGGGTGACAGTTGTCGCAGCCAGATCGCCCTCACATACCTTTTCAGAAAGTTCTTATGAGAGAGAGCCCAGATTGCTTCCCTTCTCCTCCAGACCAGAATTAGCTCCCTGGCCAGGGATCAAATTCAAGCCAGGGTGGTGAACTTTAGCACTGGAAGTGCTGAGACTTTAACCCCTATGCCTCCAGGGAAGCCCTTCCTTTCAGATTTCTGACTGAAGAGCTCCAGTGTTTTCAGCCAAGGGAGTGGGGTCCAATCCTGTCACCTCATGGTCTTGGGACACCCTTTGGCTTCTCTCCTTGTGCACCATGATCATAGTTAATACTATCTTGAATATTTGAAAGGTCTAAGAGTAGATCTTAAAAGTTCTCAGCACACAAATAACAACTCTGAGAGGTGGTAGATGTGTTAACCAACCTTCTTGTGGCATTTTCGTATGTCTGTGAAGCCGGCTTGTTGTACACATGAAGCCTACACAATGTTGAGTCCATTAAATCTCAGTGAAGCCAGGGTGGGGGTGAGGGGCACACAAAGAGCATGCCCAGTACCAGCTATGCAGGTGAAGGCCTGCAGAGCCTTGGGCTCCACCACTGCATAAGCTCCCTACTCTGCATCGTGGAGAGCAGCTCTGCTTTTCTATCAAGCTGATACAGAAGCTGGATAGCTGCCATGACAAAAATCTAAAACATGGTATTAGTTTTGGGCTGAAGTGGAAGGTGAATAGTAGATCGGGCCTCAAGGTGGTTATTAGTGAAAACTCAAAAGGCCTGGATGAGGGCATGAATAGCAGCCTAAAGGGCTTCCACACATGTTGTCAAGGAGAGAAAAACATTGCTTCACAAGAGAAAGGAAAGCCTAATTAGAACTGGGATTATGTGAAGTTCAGTTGAATTGTTACCTGAGGTAATGTGGGAAATGATGTAGCCAGTGAACCTGAAAATCCACCTAAGACTTCTGGGCAGTGTTGAGGGTGCCATCTGGCTTTTCCTAGCTAAGATGATGACATAAAGAACAACTCATTCCATTTCCAAAATTTGGAGAAAATATAAATGTTCTGAAGTCTTGTAATTACACCAACAAAGGATTTTGCTATTTGAAAATGGCTTCCTGGCAAAGACCAAATTCAGAGTTTATGGCAATATCTTTTTTGGTAAAGACCTCAAAAAGGTTAACAGTGCTTCATAGGACACTTCAGACACCCAAATGGCCCTCTACATGTTTGTATAACCTTCTCCAGGGCATCTATGAATCTTAGGGGATCAGAGGGTCCCAACATAGAAAACGAGCTGTTTGTAATGGACTTGTGGGTCATTTTGTGTAAGGAAATAGATGCCAAATGGATATGAAATCCCCCCATGGTTTTTGAAAAATACAAATTTGGACAAAGAGCACAAAAAGAGGTTTGGGGATTACTACTGTGGGCAGGAAGCAAACTGGATACTCAGCTGTAAATATGAGCTACCTTTGGAAAAAAGACCCACCAGGCAGAACCCAGCTGTGGAGAATAACTCCTATAGGGCTCATGAAAGCCGAGTCAGTGAACTAGTAACACAGCTGGCTGGATCTGAATTACTGGACCAGTGACTAGTATACGCCTCATTCCTCTCTTTGAATGGGACTGTCTTGAGAAGGGTTATTATATGCCTAGTAGGTACTTGGGATGACGAGGGCAGATAACGTATCTGAAGTTCACAGGATGGGTACTGATGGACCTTCACTCAAGCTCCTGATTAGATGACAAGCTCCTAAATTTTGAAATGTTAAAATGGGCTGACTAAAGGTCCTAGGAAAACTGAGTTTACTGTGCACCTAGGAAGGATGTGAATTACTATGGACAAATGGTGGAGGAAAAGATGCTATAATACTTCCACCCAGGTTCTTTCAAAACTGGACTGGAGGTGGGAA